CCTGGACCCTTCAGGCTGACACTCTATTATCCACTGAGCCAAACTATCTAGGGCAGTGGTCGGCAAACTGCGGCTCTTTGGCCCCTTGAGCGTCTCGCCCAGGCCGAAAACCGACTTCTGCACATGGGCAACGAAGTTTCAATTGCACTGTACGTGCGCGCCCGCATGTGGTATTTTGTGGAAGAGCCACACTCAAGGGGCCAAAGAGCTGCATGTGGCTCGGGAGCTGCAGTTTGCCAACCACTGGGCTAGAGGTTAGGGAGGTAAATTCATAGAAATCAAGAGGAAGGATTGTTTCTGTGCTAAAGAATAGAAGGAGGAGTGGCAGAACCCTGTGACTGATGGAATGTAAACACATAAAAGAGAGAAAGGAGCAAATAGCACCCTAAGGTACCTGGAGTCCCAGGAGAATAGTAAGGAAGTGAGAGAGAGATACCAGTCGAAGAAAGAGGTGGATTTGTTTTCAACCGTATAATTTCAGGTGCTGGCAACAGACGTAATGTGGAGCAAGGATGAACAAGGAAGCCTGGCAACGTAGCTTTGGGGATGGCTACTACTAAATAGAGTGAGCCTTAGAAATGGGTAACAACTGAGGTCGTGAAGGTGAATGGAGATAAGAAAGATTCAAGAATTTAAATTTATGAGTTCCCTAGTTGACAAGCAGGACAAAAAGTTATCAGGCCCTGGCTGGTTTGACTCAGTGGTTAGAGCATTGGCCTGTGGACTGAAGGCTCCCAGGTTCGATTCCGGTCAAGGGCACATGCCTGGGTTGCAGGCTCGATTCCCAGTAGGAGGGGGCATGCAGGAGGCAGCTGATCAGTGATTCCCTTTCATCATTGATGTTTCAATCTCTCTCTCCCTCTCCCTTCCTCTCTGAAATCAATAAATGTATATATATTTTTAAAGTTACCAGGATGGTAGGAAGAAAGCAAAGAGATCAGGGGAGCCCTGGAGGGGTGGGGAGACAATCGCAAGACGGAAATGGACAGAAAGCAGGAGAAAGTTGGAGGCAGATGAGAACTGAGAAAAGCCCACTGTCCTTTTAGGAAGCCATCTGTAGGGCAGTTAGAACCTTTGTCTGGGCTGAATGAGAAAAAAGAAGGAATTCCATGAGCTGCACTCTCTTTCTAAGCCCCCCAGTCTCCAGTCCTTAGAGCAACAGACTGATGGAAGATGTTTGGATTGAGAAGCCAACTATTTGGAGCAGATACAGGCCCAGCAGGA